TTTTTGACGTTTTTATAGATAACTAGCAGTACCCGCGGCTTCGCGCGCGTCAAGCTTCCGATCGCTAACAAAATTCACAGAATCACCCGCTGGGCCAATCTGAAGATTACCTGAAAATTGCATCAAAATCGCTCCAGCTGTTTTGGAGTCCCTAGGAAACATACATACACACATCGATTTTTATTTAATTTAATCAACAATTTAAATTTATTTATTGTTTGGAAAATTGAGTCTTATATGAAAATTTAGTGACACACCGACTGCAACGCCACCTACCGGTCCATTTGTAAATTCAAACCTTGCAGGGACCCACTCGAACATACACAAAAAATATTATTAAAATCGTCCCTTCCGTTTAGAAGAAGATCAGTGGCACATCAACAGCAGCGCCACCTACCGGGTCCAATTGTGTTTTCAAACCATCTAGCAGCCCATAGAAATATACACACAAAATTTCACCCATATCGATCTAGTCCTTTAGGAGGAGTAGGTTAACAGACACACGTATCTACAGAAGAATTATATATATTAAGTTGGTACGGAAACCTTAGTGCGCGAGTCCGACTCGCACTTGGTCGGTTTTTCGGCATCCCGTAAGACTTGATTGTTGACTTTCTCTGGTTGTCAAATAATAATAATATCAAATGTTAACAAAATCTCTACCATCTAACATTCAAGCTACCTAAAATACATATTATTTAAATAAAACTCAAAATATAAAAACATGTTTTAGTACGTTTTACAAGAATGTTAAATGAAATAAGCTATTTATTATATTATAATATAACTCATTCCATCACAGATTGAGTCTTTGATCAATTCACCAAGTATATTGATCCAATAAATTGCAAATGATGAGTAGGAAAATTTGTATGACAAGAAGAAAGATTAGAATCTCTTCGGCTCATGAGTTGTAAAATATTATATAGGACATAAGTAAATATTTATCCATATCCCTTTTTTTTTATAGTTGGGAAATCCTATTACGGATACCACCCGACTTCCCCCCAGGGTGGTTATGTGGAGATTCTCCGGCTAATGAGACCGGCATACCCACTAAAACCCAACTTTCCCCACAGCCGCCATGTGGGACGCCACGGGACCGCTTTCGCATACAACCGTGACGCCCCGACGGTTGGCCGAAGCCACCAACCATGAGGCCGCCCCAAGCGAGATGACCCCATTATGGGAAGACTTGCAACCCTGAACGTGAGACTGCTCCTAAGTCCACTCTGCTGAACAGAGAAGTACCCGGAGCAGCTCCACACGACCAAACACCGCCCACCGAAGTGGGCAACCTGCAAAAATGAGCGGGCCTAAGCCTGTCCCTTCCACACCCAAATTGGCAACCTCCAACAACGCCCGAAACCGAGCCCACCCCAAACGGACTGGCAGGAGTAGAGGATGCGACAACGCCGACACTCCCCTTCCCCTACAGCCCCACCGCGCGTCCACCATCAACGGTGGTGGGCCCCGCTAGGCCGCGGGAGATAGGGACGAGCGGCGCATCGCCATACCGACACTCCTCTTCCCCCGCGGCCCCCCTACCGTCGGCCCACCTCCGGACCAAGATGGCTGCCGACACCCACGCCAGACGCAGGACCACCGAACTGGCCCCGCTCCAGCCGCCGCACCGACGGGCTAGCCCCGGCAGTACGGCCCGCGCAGCGCCTCCTACCGCGAAACGGCCGGAGACACCGCGCTACCTCCAAGAAGGAGACGGCGCCCTCCTGACACCGCTCCCCCTGCCCCTCCTGGCTGTTGGTCCGCGCCGGATTGCTCCGGTACCACAAGCTCCTGTCTGGGGGAACAGTCGCGAGTGGCTTCCCCTATCCGCCACCCGGGGGACGCGTCCGGTAGCAGTCAGCCTCTGCCCCGGATTTATCCATATCCCTCCCGTAACTTTCGCTGAATGTCTATTTCTATAATATAATAATAATAATAGCCTGTATTAACAATCTTATAAGTTATATTTCATCTTATTACTAGTTAATATTAAACAGTTTTTTTTTGTTAAATCAAATATAAAGAATTATTTATCTATTTCTATTATTGTCTATTTCTATTCTTTTCATTAAAAATGTATGGGAATATCTTGAACTCTGAGAAAAGATACACATATTATGTTAACAAACTTGAAATTTCATGGTTTTTCCTGATTTTCTCCAAAACGGTATACTTTATGTGAAGAAAATTTTATGGGACCACCTCGGGACCTATCTTAATCCGAAATCGGTCAAGCGGTCTCCGAAAAACCGGTAAACGTACATAAAAAAAACACAGACGAACATAGAACCTCCTGCTTTTTGGAAGTCGGTTAAATATGAAATGCTGTTCGTTGATGAGAATTAATAGAACTACAACAACACTCTGTATAAGGTGTTTATAATTAAAAAAACCCGACTCCCAGGCGATAAAAAGTAAACAATAACTAAACGCGAGTTTTCATTTAGAATAGATACCTAATCAGATAATTTCGAAGTCGGTGCCAGCCGATGCAAATTAAAGCACAAATGAAAACCCCCATTTAGTTATTTTTTACTTTTTAGTGCCTGGAAGACGGTTTTTTTTTTAGTTTTTATTTTTCTATTTTTAGTGTAGACGTAATAAGCAGGTAATTTGTGAGAAGAAAGTTTTATAATAACATATTCGAGCCAGTCATTAATTTATTGAAGCCATATTTAAGCCATTTATTTAAAAACTAGCGACTCACCCTCGCTTCGCTTGGATGCGTCCCTAGCTTGCTTCCCCATACAAACTTTCATCCCCATTCTCACCTACTTAAGTGATGATTTCCTGGATAAAAACTATTTCACTCACTCAGTTTTCATATCATGAGATTTAAAAAAACATATTTTAGTAAAAAAAATTTTAATTTTCATCTATACAAAACTTATCCTAAGTATCATCACAATAACAAACACAAAAAAAAAGAATTATGCAATTTGGTGTAGTCGATCGGAAGTTATGCGCGTACATACATTTCGGTGATTCATTTTTATTTATATAGAAAGATAATTTATTATTGATTTTTTAAAAACCGCTCGACCGATTTTGATAAAATTTAAATGGAGACTTCCTGGGAAGTATGCCTACCCTTTGAAACAAAAAAGAATTTTCCAAATCGGTTCAGGCGTACTCGAGTAATCGGTGAACATTCATTAAAAAAACGTGTGTGTACTTACTCGTATGTACGCACGTAAGAAGTTATACTTATATCACCATAAAGGCGTAACAGAACAAAAATAACTAAAATTTTATCCCATATGTCACAATTCTCTTTTTGTAAAAGGAATGAAGTTACTTTCATCATGTCGCTTTCAGTTGAGTTCATCATCGTAAAAATATTACTCTCATACTTTTTTCCAAACATTGGCATGTTTTTTTTTGTTTGCATTGCAACAGAAGTATAACTTCGAAAAAAAAAGATTTAGACGAATTGAGAACCTCGAAGAAGAACCTTTCTGAAGAAGTCGGTTGAAAAATGGTAAAGATGGTCAAAAAAATATTTGGAAATATTTATCTAATTTGTTATTAATTAAAATATGTATTTATTTATTCAAATAAAACAATTTTTCTCAATTGTACAAAAATATATATAAAACTACAAAAAAAAAAATCTAAAAAGGTAGGTTTCATACAAACTTTCATCCCATATTTTACCCACTTATGGGATGAATTTCAAAAATGGTAATAGACGTATTTATTTAATTGTATTAAAGAGCATCAATACCACTTGGTATTACTTGAAACTTTTCAAGTAATTATGATCTTAAATATTTTTTTGGGTTGTATTATAACGTATTTTCCTGTAAGAATTAGGTAATCCGCGGTTAAAAGTAGCCTATGTCACTCTCCAGCCCTCCAACTATCTCCACACAAAAAAATCACGTCAATTCGTCACTCCGTTTCGACGTCAAAGAAGGACAAACAAACAAACAAACAAGCACACTTTCACATTTATAATATTATGAGTATATTAGTATTAGTAATTAGTATGGATTTTTACTCAAAACATATAATCGCATACAAAAAGTAAAGCCACGACGAGAACATACTTTCCCATTCACTAACAATTCAATTCGGCTCGCGATTTTTATTAAAACTGTTAATCTTTTATATAATTGACGCTATAAATGGTGAAATGGACGATAATTATCTTAATTGTAGACAAAGTTCATCTCGTCGCTCATTTTAATCTAAAATTGATAAATAAACATTTTTACAGGTTGAAACATTTACATATTTATTTTCATATTCTTCACACGAATACACATATATAGAACATATATTTATTATAATTAGTAAGGTAATACATATATCTATGATTAATCTAATTTATTCTTTAGCTTTTATATATCTACTTAAAAGAAATAAAAGAAATAACAAATTATATTTTTAGGTAATAATAAGCAAATACTTAAAATAAGTGAAGCTTACAGATTGTATTTGGCATATTTTCTACCACAAAATTTTTAAGCTAACATAGACTTATCCTATATAGATAAATAAAATTGAAGTGTCTGTTTGTAATGTTAAAATAACAGCGTTTAATTTAATAAAAATTATATATATATATATATATATATATATATATATATATATATATATATATATATATATATATATATATATATATATATATATACTTATAAGAAAAACACATTTTTTTTTATTTTGTCTGTCTGTCTGTCTGATTGTTCCCTACCTAAGAAAGTTGATTTTTAAGGTATTGTAAAAAACCTGTACCTACGTAATGAACTTAATTATACTGCAATAATTTTCTTATTCTGTATGAAGTTTAATTTCTAAGAAATGGTGAACTTTCACGGTTGCGGCGTGACTAAATATGCCTCAACATTTGTACTAAATATTATTTATAATTTATTTTAAAAGGCGTTATTAATTTTTAAATATTACCAATATTTTTTACAAGGTTTTTTAGAACATAATTTAAAGATGAAAACTTTAACGATTTTATATAAATCATAATGGACTTATAGAATTAAAACGGGCTCAATTAACAAACTTTTATCACTTTCAATATCCTTAATAACCACTTGAGCGCCATAGTAATAGTCTACAGAAATTATTTCTGAAGAGATTACGCTGTGTGGTAGATTCATCAAGTCCAAGTATTTGTTGACTTCAAATTCTTGACCGTAAATAGGAATGAAGAAAAATGTGTATCGACAATATATATCACCGTGCACAGTCGCACTGTAGTCTACTTTCAGCGATAACGTACCTCTGGTCGCACTGAGTATGGCTTTGACACTTTGACCTGGTTTCAAAGAAACTTCAACATCAGAAGTTGTTGTTAATATCTTAGTTTTAGACTTATTTACTTCTTTACCCCAATAAGACGTATAGGAATAGCTTAGACTGCCATATTTAAATGTTATATCTCGAGCAATAGATAATGCCTCACTTTCAGACCAAGTAGTACTCAGTGTTTCTAGAACTTCCTCTTTTATGCCGCCTTTAGCGACGCTTGGCGCAGAGCTGTTATTGTGGAACTCTTTGACTGTAACTAAGACATTTCTTCTGCCATGATCTAGTATTGTGGCTTTTAAAGGAACTAACAAAGTTTTTAATGGTTTAAATCGTTAAAACGTGAGCATAAGTCGGTGCAGTGTATCCACGTCGTGGCAAATTCATTAAAATACTGTGTTCTGTAATTTTAAATGTTTCTAGCTCTGTTTTAGTAGTTCTTGATTCTTCAAATCCTGTAATATCGACTGTTTCTTTTGAAAATTTAGTCGCTGGATTTATATTTATTTTTATGCTGGCCATAGTAAATGGCAGGAATAGAAGAACTGCTTTTAACATTTCTGAAAACGGTCGGTTTTTACTACTTTGTTGAATAATAACAATAATAAAAGCATTATTAATGAATAAAATAAAATAATAATGCAATAAGTATGAATATGAAATAGGTAAAATTAAAAATAGATGTTTGTTTTTATTTATTGATTGGCTAATATATTTTCGAAATTCTTAATCACCTTTTAAACTTGAGGCTGAAGACTTTTATTAAGTTTAACACGTCTCTCACTATACATAGTCTGTTATCAGATACGGCTAGTAAAGTAAATGAAACTTGTCTCTGTGTCCAGTACACAGAACAAATGGTATAATATCGTTTTAATTTGTTTTGGAGTAAGCGTAGATTGCGCTTAAAAATCTTAAGAACTAGATAGTTTAGACTTGTTGTGCAGAAAAATGTCTGTTTGTGCTAGTTTGTTCGCTCTTCATACAAAAAACTATTAAACCGATTTTGATCAAATTATATACAATAATAATAAAAATATATAACATATGTATAGGGAATTTTTTAATTTCGTTTATTAACATTCTTGAATTTTGTTGAAATCTATAGCATCGAATTTAACATAAATAAGTTACAAAATAGAAGAAGAAGAGAATTACTTTGTAGTCATAATTCGTTGGCTCACAATTACAAGGTTATATGTTACAATTTTAGTACTTATTTAGTTATTAATGCTACAAGGTTCTATGTGTCATTAGCTACAGTTTTGCAAAAACAAACCATTAGATAGCGGCACTATAACTACAAAATATTCAATTTTACATAGTTCTATGTTGTTTTTTTACGATAGCAAAATAACGAAATTCTATGTAAAAATTACTAAACTTTATTAAAATTAATATAGAACCTTGTAATAGTAAGCCAACAAATTATGTCATTATTTAGTGTCCTTTTTACTCCGGAATTTAAAAGGATTTAGAAAATTATTTTCTTATAATAAGTAAGTAATTTATAGCTTTTACATACAATTTTACTGTACTGTTCACACTAGGCGTGTTAATGTTTATTGTGGGAAAGTCATAACATTAGTTCCATATCAAATCTTGATATTCTCAAAACCCGCTAGTAATGCAATTACGAACCAGTCGGCCACGTGCTCAGTTTATTAAAGTCGTTAAAAATCGATAATAATAATAAATAATAATAAATATGTTGGGACATTAACACACATCACCATCTAGTTCCATGGTAAGTTACGAAGCTTGTGTAATTGATACCAGATAGTTGATACACTATACATATATAAGTTTAAATACATACATATTATAAATACAAACACCCATGACTGGAGTACAAACATTCGTGCTTATCACACAAATGAATGCCCCCCGCGGGACTCGAACCCGTGACCACTGGCTCAGCAAGTAGGGTCACTAAAACTGAGCCAAACGTGTCGTCAATATAAATCGATGTAATTTATATAATTAATTGTATATAATTACCATCTTACAGCGAATATATTTAATTTAAATGGATCGTTTCCCTAGAGTCGTATTCGTATTGAGCTCTTTTTTTAACATTCCATTGCTGGGCACGTCCCACTGACCTTTGCTAAAGGGGGAATCAGGTCATAGTCCACCACGCTGGCCAAGTGCAGTTTGGTGGGCTTTACATGTCTTTCGAAAACTTGCTAGATTCTTTCAGACGGGCAGGTTTTCTTGCGATGATTTTTTCACCGTAAGACATGTGGGAGGTAATACTTTCTTAGATTTACGCTTACGCTACGATTCCCGACACACCCACAATTAACAATTTTTTGTTAATTGTGGGTAGGCTGTCTGTAACAACTATACATTCAAGACATGTAACACCTCAGTCTCTCCCGTGACCATGGATGCTGTAAAGCATTCGAAACGTCGGGAACCAAAAATCAAAATAAATCCGCGAAATAATCCGAAAAGATAGATTTATTTAATAATGTGGGAGGTAATCATGTTGAAAATGATTAGCAAATGAAAATATCAGATGTAAGATACGGGATTTGAACCCGCTTCACTCGGTTTCCCAAGCGAACGCGTAACTACTAGGCTACTACTGGCGTCCCTATAGTAATGGAGGCAAATATTTCTAAGATATTAGAAATATACATATGTACGTTTGCCAAAATCGCTGTTGGACGGACTGATTGACCTTCATCATTCATCATAGACTTAAGTATAATTTAAATATAAGAATTAGTTATACCTAGCCGAAAGTAAATTTTATTTGTAAAATGCTATTTTTTTATATAAAAAAGTCTTATTAATGGCAATAACTATAAAAAAGCAATTATAATGAATCACACGGAATGCTAATCGTTCTGATACACAAGAAAGGATTCACGCAGAAGTTGACCGGTAGTCACAGAGTCGACGGCTTCTTTCTGCAGACATAAAATTACCATTTCTTAGACAATGAATGAACTACTGGTTTTTTTTAATTCAAAGCAGAAATTTATAATATTTAATAGCCATTTTAAATTATTTGGAAAGATGGCTAAGCTGTAATAAGGCTATAAACATTAGAAAGGAATAGAGAAAATCTTATTTTATTAATAATACTTTTTTTTTGAAATAAACATTAATTATTTACTATAAAAATATAAATAAAAGTTTAAAAAATCCGAAGAGAGCCTTCGAGTCTTTCGGCGCGCGGGAGAGTTGTGTGCGGCGATGTACTCGTGTATAATACTATATAATATTAATAGGATTAATAGGATATATATATATATATATATATATATTTACAAAGATATAGTAAATAGTAATACATGATTGAAGTTTGAACCGTTAGTACAAGTAATAACCCTAAAACAGTTTTTTTATTCGACGTAGCCGCGTCTTAATAATATGGCTACGTGGTACAGTAGTATTACTGTGATTTTTCTCATATTGCTATTTAGGTATGCAATTGAAAAAAATGTAGTTTACAAAGTAAAAATTATCGATTTCTCCAATTTTTAAAATTTTTAAAGGTGTTTTTACAAGATAACCATACAATGTTTTTATATTTTCAAAAAGTAGAGTTCAAGACGAAAAGAATGAGCCCTATCTGAAAATTGAGCGATTTTTTTTAATGTAAACGCCCACTTGAAGTTGGGGGAGATTTTCAGCTTCTCTAGACCATAAAACATACTTTTCTCGGAAATGGCTAAATATTTCAATTTCATTTTTTTTATTTATTATGTATATTGTGAAGATTACATTCCCTTAGTTTCATGGAAATCAAAAGATTATTCTAGAAACAAAAAATAAAAAAACCAGTAAACAGTTAAAAACCGAGTTTTTTGCAAATATCTCGAAAACTTTGAGGTTATTGTAAAAAGTGTTATGTATAAAAGTTGTAGATTTTTACTAAACCTACAACTTTTGTAGAAAACATTTTTCGATAGAACGACACAGTAAGCCATAAATTGAAAAAATATATTTTTGAACGCTTTGCGTCCCCGCATTTCTCGGGGGTAGCTGGGCATGTGGGGCATTTTACGAATTTCCATTCCATAATAATAAAAAACTCCAAAAAAACTCTTAATAATAAACGGATCCCGATTGGTCTAAATAGGAATTTAAAAATATAGTAGAAGTCATAATTTTTTTCTTAACTGGAAATCGTTGGTTTGTGTGTCACGCATTATTAAATAGCATGTGTGAGCTCCGTCATATTAAAACATGATAATTTTTACTCTAAGCCCAGTTCCCACTAAACTATCAATCTGTGGTTTATATTACTACTTACTAGCATTAGAAATTTCACTTAATATGTACAGAGCTTATCTCAAGTTTCTATCTGTAGTAAGAAAAACTTCAGACATACTCGTATAGGTTATTAGCGACTTACTCTCGCTATGTTCGGGCTCGTTCCTAGTGAAAAAACAAAATCAAATCTATCTGACGAGAACAGTAAATTTTTCCTGGATAAAAAGTAACATATGTGCTATTTCAGATTATAATCTATCTTTATGCCAAATTTCATCTAGATCCATTCAGCCGTTCTGGTGTGAATGAGTAACAAACATCCATCCATCCAAAATTTTGCATTTATAATAATATTGACGATCAATCTCTATAATTAAATCTTTGTATTGGATACTGGAAATTGCAATTCGCAAAACGCGTACATTTGCATGCGAAAAATTCATATGATTTCTCATAGTTACAGAGTTATTCAGAATGTTGTTTTGATATCAGTTTCCGTGTTAATTCCCTCTGTGTAACACGAGGATAAGCAAAATCCATGCATAAAGTATGAATATATTTTCATTTAATCGTAAAATATGTTAAACGACTGTTACTATATGCTCATGCATACTTAAGGATTTTACAAGTACTATAACAAAAGTTAAAGTGCAATAAAGGATACAGTGTAACATTCATAAACAAAGTTACTCAAGTACTCCAAAAGCATTTTAGCTTTAGGCACTAGCTTTGCTTAAAAAAATATCTAAATCCCCATCCATCCACAAGCGCGGACACGCCGGCGTGTCCGTTAAAAATGGAATTCTCAGATTTTAATTAATTTCTTTAAAAACCTGATGTGTTAAGAGAACTACTTATTTTATGTAATATCTACCTACGGGTAAAAAGTAGCTTAAGTATATGCAAAAATCATGTGAATCTGTTGCTTTCTGATTTTATTTAAGGTGGACAATCTCACTTTTCGCACCAACGTCTCTTTACTTCAAGAACTCGGCATTAAACAACGGTTTTCGGCGGTAGTACAGAGTAGTTCTTCGGATATGTTTCCTTGCGTAAGAGTGACTCTATCGAGCGCCTTGTCGTGCAGGGTAAGGACGAGGAAGATGAAGCATGCAAAGGACCAACCAAATTAAGTCAGCTGTAGGTGGTCCCTTGCATGAGTGCACCAGGATATCGGCATACAAAGAGAAGTGGCGAACAATCGTGAGGTGCACCATTTGCCTCTACAGAAGTCGCTATGTGATGACCACGACCGTAAAGTAACCCTGTACAACAACATGTCGGTATAGTGACCTCAGAGTAATCGATATACACCTGTACTTATGTATCTATAAAAAAATACCATCCATAACAATAATCATATAAACTCTTCTTTTTTGGAAGTAGTTAAAAAAATCACGTTTTTTGAAATTGGTTATAAAAGTTTCAAATAATTATACCTCATTCTACATAATATTATATTGAGCCATATTATAGATAAAGTTTGAGTGGTAGGGAAAATTTCCGAAATTTGGCATACCAAAATATGATCATTACATATGTATAAAGTTATTTTTGAGAGATCTAGTCGCTATCTTATTAATAGTCTAGTACATTTTTTTAGAAATCTTATATTAAAATTCTGCATATTAACTAAGGAAGTGCCATTATAGTTTATCACGACTTTGTCCCACTTTTAAGTTTAGTATGGCGGTGAATCTTGCAAATTATCTAATTAAAAATCAGTTTAGTCAAAAATGTAAATTACTACAAGTCGACATAGGTTTGTTAATTATTAAAAGTGTAAAGCACTACGCTAACAAGTTAGCTGTTAGTATTATATTAAGGAAAGTTATTAATATAAGTTTCTAGGAAGACTTATTTCTTTAACGGACTACTAAAATGGTGGAGTTTCTTACTTCTTATGTATGTTTTTAGGGCGACACGTTTATTGACGACACGTTTGGCTCAGTTTGTAGTGACCCTACTTGCTGCGCCAGCGGTCGCGGGTTCGAGTCCCGCTGGGGGCATTCATTTGTGTGATGAGCACGAATGTCTGTACTCCAGTCATGGGTGTTTATATTTATAATATGTATTTAGTAAAGTTATATATTATGTGTAGTGTATCATCTATCTGATATGCATAAAACAAGCCTCATAGCTTACCATGGAACTAGATGGTGTTGTGTGCTAATGTTCCAGCATATTAATTTATTTATATTTATGTTTTTAGGGCTCTGTAGCCACAAAACAAAGACGAAGTTCTTATAATTTTATGATGTCCATCTATCTGTCCGTCCGATCGCCTATCCTGTGAGTTTTTCTATCCGTGTGTCCGCGTGACAGTGTCGACATAAAATTTTTGGATGAGTCTTTTTTATAGCCAGATAAAGTAGTAGAATTAAAACTTAATAACTTTTACGTACCGAACAGTAGTAGCGAACATATAAACATCATAAGTTTTCATATTAATTAAAAAATATATAATAATTAAATATGTAGATGACCAACATCAATCATAAAATATTTAAATGCAGAAATAGGTAAAACAGCATGTTATATAAAAATATTCGCTAACATATTACACAAGGAATACATAACAGGTGATCGTGCTAATAAGGTATTAAACATACAAATCATATAAATCAAAATAAATATCTGTTATGTGTAAAGCTGTTGTCTGTACTGGCCTTTGCCGCGGGATTGCATTCACGCATGATTTTATCTGAACTACCTTTAAAAGAAATGAATCGAATTTTTATTTACTTTTATCATCATAAATTGACCCATCTTTACCTAAAATAAAATGTAGCGCAATTTTTTTACTTAATTTACTAAACTCAATTTTACGATTATTTTGAAATAATGTATAGAAGACTAATTAATAATGTCTTGTAAAAGTATAAAATCTTGAATTTTATTTAATCTAAATTAATTGATAAGATGACTCAGTTTAAAACAACTGTGTTTTATCTTTTACTTTAAAATTACAAGATCTAGTTTTTATGATCAATGAGTACAGATAATAATTAATTTATGTTCTTCTTAGTAAACAATTTAACTGTCGAAATGCATAAAACTCGTATATTTTATAGCGTTTAATCTTTAGTTTATTTAAATTTGTTTTTTTGTTTTTTCCATTGGATTTGATAGACCCAATATTAACTTATACGCGACCTAATGATCCATAATATTGTACATCAATATTTATATGTACGTATACAATACCATTTTTTTAATGTGGGGAAATGTATTTACGCATACCACCTGTAGACATACAGGTGGTTATGTGGGACTCACCGGCTAGAAAAGCCAGTACTCCCACTAAAATCTAACAAAATCTTCCCCGTCTAAATGGGGCGTCGCAGGATCGCTGACGCACTCAACCATGGTATCCCGATGGCAGGTCTGCAGAAGAAGACCACAACAACCATGGGGTTACTCCAACGGTCCACTTTGCTGTCAGAGAAGCACCGAACCGGAAGAAATGTAGCAAGCATTCTTGCCACAATTCTAGGTGGACGGATGGACGGTGGATACTTAAATGTAATAATCGTTAAATTTCTGATTTTGTATATATGTATGTATAATTAAGTATACTATGTATTCGTGTCATGGAATAAATATACATATCTACACTAGTGACATACATTTCTAATTCTTGATATGACTTTTACAAAATACCCACATATCGTAAGTGCTAAGGGGACCCTTCTACATAAACTTCATC